TGAAGTTGAGGAACTTGCCGAGGCTAGAATGTAGTAAGGTAGGAAAAATGATGAATTAAGGAATATTTATTAATAGAGTTTTAGAATTTTGAATGTTTTGTTATTTTTTATAGTGTACCTTTAAATTGATCTAGAGTAGTGCGTAATAGATTAAATCTAGTATCTTCTGATGAAGTGATAGCAGTAGGATTGTTTGAAACATTTTGACGGGAGTTTCTTTGGGGAGTGTTTTTACTGAAGTTGTTGTTAGAGGTTGGGTGAGTGCTAAATTTTTCGGCTATTCTTTCAAGATCTTCATGTTTTTTACGTTTATTGTTGGAATTTGAGTTATTATTGGTAGCAGAGGATGAATTTGTAGTAGAAGAACCAAGATAATTTCATTCAATGGTTTCATATAAGATAAATGCAGATTTTGCAAGGCGCACAAGTTCTCTACCAACTGAAAAAATTGGGCGACGAGTTGTTGCATCCGCAACATTAGTATGCCGGGTGTGAAGTGGGTATTTACAGAGAATAGATAAGGTAGATTGGTTTCCAGTTACACCATTATAAACGTCTTTTTTTAATCGAAATATACCTTGTCGATTTTCAGTTACAGCGGGATCTTGGATTGGAGCCGTGAAGATAAATAGTGGGTTCATCTCCAAGAGAGAAAATATTTAAAGAAACGTACTGATTAAATGTTACCTAGTAGAAGGGGAAAATATGAATAAAATTAAGTATTATATAATTATATTGTATTTAAAATATATTAATATTAATAATGACATTTAGTTGATTATTTTTTAAGGCAAATCGTCCAACGATTAGAGCAATATTCTTTTTAAAGATTTCTTCGATTAATGGTGTATGTTCAGAACAAAAAGCTTTGAATTTATATTCAATAAATTCATCGTCTCCTGCTCTGTAGACTGCAGTTCCAGCAGTGTATTTAGTAGCAGTTGTAATATCCTTAATAAAGGAGACTGCACAAAACATTGAAGACATTTTTTTAGGCGAATTTGGATTATGTGTATCTGAAGGAAGGTTTTTTTTTATTTTTATTAATGAATTGTAGTTTTTTGCTTATTATTATGATAAAATTTTTTTAAGATCGAAGTTATTTATATTGAATTTTAATACAATTTGTATAAAATATTATTGTAGAGTATTATGTAATCATGTATAGAGGCTGGTTCGCTAGGCGTTTCGTTATTATTTATTAATAATTTATTGTAATTATTTAAATTATATGAAAAGAGTAGTTGCGATGAGATTTATTTATACGAAGGTATGTAAAATAATTTTGTGATTTTATTGATTAAAGGAGTGATTAACGTAATATGATTTGTATAATAAGCACGATTCGTAGTTGTAGCTATAATATAGAGAAATTTTAAAATTTGAATAATTCAAACTTTGGTTTATTGTTTTAGTTTTTCTTTGTAATATTATCTACGATAGAAGCTGAGCTTGAAAATGAATTATTAGAATACAGTAAAGTTATATAAATTTAGAGAAGAATTATTATATTATGAATGATAATGAAATAGAGAAATTTGTATTATGTAATTAGATATAGAGGCTGGTTTGCTATGCCTTTCTTTATTCAGAAAATCTTTTTTGAATCAGCAGTATATAGGGGTATGTATACTAATTTTAGATTTGTATTTATTTCAGGTTTATTTAATGTATTAACAATTGATATTATTTTTATGAATATGATTTGTTACACTAGATAGAAAATTTCTAGATGACGTATAATAGGAGTTTTGTTTTATTGTTATGGTTTTATTTCTAATACCGGTTTTGTATAGCAATTTCGGAGATTTAAGAAATCATATTCGGACATTATAGTAATCAAATTTAGAGATTATAGCAACTAAATTCGGACATTGTAGTAATCAAATTCGAACATAGTAGCAATCAAATGGGGATATTCTAGCAATCAATTTTGGACATCTTAGCAATCAAATTGGACAACAATATTCGTGATCCTGTGGTCTAAATTATGCGATGTTGGTATTATTTGTTTCGTCTTCACAAGATGAGTCAAATAGTATAAATTCATGTGATTTGGATCACTATATAGCGAGGTATGGCTGTTTGATTTTGATTGCTAAGATGTTTAAATTTGATTGCTAAGATGTTCAAATTTGATTGTTAGAATGATTGATCTAATTATTACTATATCCGAATCTGACTACTACTATGTCCGAATCTGATTACTACTATGTCCGAGTTTGGTTGTTATAATGTACGAATATGATTGCTATAATGTACGAATATGATTGGCTAAGAGTTTGAAATTGGTATACAAAATTTTATTATCTATAGTAGTATTTAAGCTAGAAAGATAAGAATTAGCGTTTAGTTGGTAAGCACTTCTTTGACAAGCATTTTTTTGAAAAGTATTTGGTCATATCTATTTTCTTAACAATCTCTTAGGCGACAATTATTTCGTTGATGTGACCATTTTTAACATGATACGAATGTTTGAGAAATGGTTATGCTGAGGAATGGTAAAATGATTATCAGCAAAATATATATTGCCAGGAAATATGTGTTAAGAAAATGGATGGGGGGACAGTAATTTTTTGTAAAATAAGAATTAGATTAAAGCAATAGAGTATAAAATTAGAGAAAGGTTATTATTTTGATAATTAAAAGAAATAGTTAAATTGTATTATATGGGATTTTTAATAGGAAAAACATGATTTGTGATTTAGATATCGGAAAGATTAGAATTAAATGCTGGGGTTTTTTATACGTAAATCGGCGTTTGGTTTAATTATTTGATATTTTATTAAATAATTTTAAAGCAAAAAAAACTGAAAAATCCCAGCATTTAATCTAATTTTTCCGGGTTGATTAGAAAATCGTGAAGAGTGAGTTTTCTATTAAACATTGCATGAATTAGCTGAGTTTGAAAACTATGAATTAGATTAGTATATAAATTTAAATTACAATTTATATATTTTGAAGGGATAAAGAAATGGCGAAATTGTATTATGTAATTAAGTAATAAAGATAAGTTGATAGGAGTTCTTTATTAGTAATCTTTTTTTTTAAACAATAAAATTAATGAAAAGTGATGAGAATTATACAACGGTGCATATAATAATTCTTAGCTTCTATTAATAAATATTCCTTAATTCATCATTTTTCCTACCTTACTACATTCTAGCCTCGGCAAGTTCCTCAACTTCA